GTTTTCAACCCCCCGGAGAAACCGCATAATCATGTATTTTCCCCGAAATTAATGTTTTTTAATTTATAAAAAATCAGCGCATGTTTCCGGAGAGGTAAAATTCATAAAAATGTAATCTCAGATCCCTCCCCCTCACCTCCCTTCAATTTTCATTCCTCTGGATATATTGCGCCTATTTTTCACAGATAACAAAACCGAGCGTGTGAATAAATTAATTTACTTATTGAATTAATTAATTTTTTAATTCGAAAATCAATGCATAAGCAGATAGTTGTTTAGAACATTATTTTCAATTGTTTTTTCAACATAATTTAAAATATATATAATGTTCATATAAATTCTGCTCCCCCCCCATCAACGGGTGAAAATCTCAACCCACTTCTCGCAAAGTTCTAAATTTTTAGATTCCATTATTTTATTTATCTAATTATTTGATGCCCCTCTTCGCCCCTATTTGACCGGCAGCATTCTCCTCCTACATATCTATTTACGATAACATTGTTCACGTAGGGCAATTGGGTCAGTACAGAATTAAACTAATTAAAAAAAATGCCAATATGAACCTATTGGTTAATCAATTTTCTCCCGCCACTGCTGCCGACTTTATCGGCCTGGGCGAGAAGTCGACACTGCCGCCATCCGGCGGCGTTCCCCCTACTGATTTATTTTCCCTTTCAATACGGAAACTATTATTTTCCTTAATTAATGGAAATTAATGTCATTAAAGCTACTAAAATTCATGAATAATTCATAGATTTACATCCATAATCGTTCCAGGTATCATTTACCCTTTTTTACACCAAAACAAGTAGCCACCTAACAGCCACCTAATTAGGTGGCTGTTAGGTGGCTCCCTAGGGGAGGAAGGGGGTTGCTATGGAATTCCAGAATTCGTCCTTTATGGTGGAGGTAAATCTGTCATTGGTGGAGAAGATTGAGGTCGTAGGTTGATGTTGTTGGAGGAGGGATTGAGAGGGGTGGCTCCTCTCAGGGGTATACGAGATCTTTTCTTGATGGATGTCTGGTCATTGATTGAGTCAGATGCGGTAGGGGAATCATGAGATCGTTTTTTTAAATTTTTGTCTGGGGAAGGTTCGAGGGCAGCATCTTGCTGATTTAATTGGGTTGTTTGTTGTTGGGAGGTAAGAGGGTTATCATTGAGATCATTCGATTCATCAGTTTGATTTTCTTGGGACATAATCGACATTAAATCGCTAGCAGCGATCATTGACTCATTGTTAATAAGCATGGTCTCAATGATATCACTGTTTGGATAAGATTGCTCGGGGACTTCTATTAATTCTGTCTCTGAGTCAGAGGTTGTTCCAAGATCCATTTTGTCCACGCTCGGCGTCTTGTCCGACATTATGGGTGGAAATATGGTATGAGGAAAAACTGGGTTAGGTTAGGTGAATAGGCGCCATAAGGCGGGTAGAAACGCCGATGACGCCCAAAATTATGGGAGAATTTTGCACTCCGCGTACTGTTTTAATGGTCGGACTGTGGATTAAATAGTGTGTTTTAGGAAGATGGGATTTTTGCATTTAATTTTGATATTTTTAGATCGCAGATTGAATTGAAACAATCGGATTGTACGTGTATGTAAGAGGCACGAGAGAAGCGAGGTGTTACTCTCGCCGCGGTTCACACGAGACTCCGCTGTGGGTTCAGTATGACGTGGAATGTCAATGAGTGAGACAATGAAGATCTCTAGAACGCCGGTGACTTCTTTACCGGCGGAGGGGACATTATGTTAATTTTCTCCAGCAGGATAAATTTAAATTTAATATCCAATCACTACCGGAATACATAAATAAATCATCACAATATTACTACTTTTATTGCGTCTTATCAGATACAGTATAAAAATATTTCATTATACATTTTGTTTTAACATTTATACATTTTGTTATTACAAATTGACCGGAGATATTTCTTTTTTCTATTCAAAAATAGTACATTATGTCATGAGGGCGATAAGCGGCGGTTTGTGAGGAGTGTGGAGTTGCAGCAAGAGGCGTGGCAAGCAGGAGACGAGGATCGCCGAAGGCGATCCGAGTCGGACGCTTGCCATGCCGAGTGTTGCAAACTCCACACGACTCACAAACCAACGCTATCGCCCGAATGGCATATACTATTTTTCGTCACGAAGGCCCGACGCGGGTGTGGGCGCGGGAGGGGGTCCAGGGGGACGAAGTCCCCCTGAAGAAAAAAATAAAAGCAATAGAAAAAAATAAATCGAAATAAAATCAATATCAGTTGATGCGAAAATAAATAACTAGTAAAGTCCGCCAAAATATCCAAAAACAGTAGGTTGATGACGGTAATTTTGGACCTGTGAAAAGAAAATTGCATAAAAAATAGAAAATAAGAACAGATATCAAAGATAAAAGAAGATACTCAGCTGTTCAATTTTTCTTCTTTTATTAAGAACAGAAGTCGACGTTATAAATACTGATATTTTAGAAATTGTTGTTTTTTGAACAAAAATATCAACTTTAAATTGAACAAAAACTCGGAGAGTGACTTTTTTCTAATGATAAATCTTCTCAATGACACACAACAACATGGCTACCACTAGTGGGTTAAGTTGTAGAGAAGGCCGCTAGAGGCGCTGTACAGCTCATCCGACTATACGTTTACCCGAACGCAGAGCGCATGCCCAAGTGGGGGGAACGTCAGGGCACATGGTGACGCCCACTTTATCGCTCCTAGGATGGGTAAGTGAGATTTACCCTCCTTGGAGCACCGAGCGTCTCATTTACCCTCCTTGGAGCACCGATTATTCAAGTGCCGCGGTAAACTCTCTTTACCCCCTCTCGACAGAGCCCGAGTAAGCGCCGTTTATCGGGCCGAGTGACGAAAATAGTCTTTTCTCAACTACAATGGTTTTTCTACGTCTAGAATATTTTTAATCCTTTGTTATGAATTTTGAATGGTTTAAATATATTTTTATAATCGACATACACTTCCGGAATTTTGCGAAAATACTTTTGTCATAATCTGATGACATATATATTCATTATGTATCCATTATATATCCATTTCACATACTATTTCCACTTCAATGCACTTACAAACATGCTGCGTTGTCAAAGACCATTAAAAAAAATGTTTAATTAAAAGTGTCATTACCAACTGACACTTTTCTCTCCTTTTCAATATTTCTGCCATTTTTCGATTTTCTCCCCATCGTCAATCCACTATAACAGCTCCAGAAGGCACTCCACGATCCTCAATGGGTACTTTGAAGTAATGAATAGACTTATGAATATTAGGTTTCTCACTACGGGCTCTGCTCCATATTTCCATCTTCAGTCCACGAACAAGAAATTACAAGACCTCTAAAAAACATGTCGACAGCTTGACGTGCAGCAGTTTTATTAGTTGGTCGAGGGTGACGTCAATAATTACACCAGTTTCACGTGAACCAGTAGTTGCTGTACGATCTGAAAGTATAGTTTAAATAGTTTAAATAGTATAAATATGTGTAAAATAGTTGAAGACTTTTTTTTTCGTCGGATTCGATTTCATTAATATTTATTCTTTAGTACAATATATGAAATATTTTTTTCATCAAGAGAAGGGGATTAATTCGAATTTGAAAATCTTTTGATACTATTTGATAATTTCACAGTTATCATAAAAATATATCAAGAGATTTGAAAGTTTATTATAGATAAATATAATAATCGAATAGTTCAAAAAAGTCAATTTTTTAATCCAAAAAAGAAATATATGAGATATACATGAGATTAATAAATTCGCGAAACAACTGATGGAAATCACCGGAGTATTATCTAAGCAATGAGGGTTTCCTCATAAAAAAGTTAAAATAAATGTTGGAAACTGTGGCAAATTTGCGTATATAAAAAAATGGTGTCTTGGCAATTTTTTTTTCATGTCCTGTTGTTCGGGAGATAATTGTGTTCGAGAAAAGTGTCGCCACGATAACTCGATAATAATAAGCGAGTGATATTTCTAACTTGTTATGAAAATATAGAATAAAATATGGAATTCTACTCACACACAAGTTTGTGCTCAGCAGACTTATCGTTCACAGATTCAATTATTGTTGCCTCGCTGTAAATGTTATTAGTGAAACCACTGCTAAATTTGCAGTTGTATTCAGCAGGGCAAATGTGGCCTGGAAAGTCATATTCGCGGAGTTCATTATCTCCTTTTCCAGTGATGTGGCAACGTAGGTTCATGGAGTTTGCAAACAATGTAGTTCGTAATGCTACGTAGGGGACTATCTCACCGTCCTGGGCAATCTCAATGCAAAATGCGTTCGTGTCATCATGCTGCACCTTTACTGTAATATTTGTTTTTATATAGTATTGTACAAATTTTCTCGAAGAATTTATGTTCAATCTAGGCACACCACTGAATAACCGTGCCCAATTGGAAAAAAAATTGCGGTGAATAAACATGTATAGGGGTGAGTGGGGCAATACGGGCACCCCAGGGTAAAATGGACACCTAAAAGTGTCAAAATGTTGAGGTGTTCTAGACGATTTGAGATTTTTGGAGATAGAAGTTCCGTTTTTTTATTCTGAAATTCATTTTGTTTGGAAAAATGGGCGCTACATGAAAAAAAAAAACACTGAACTCATTTGTCTCATAGAAAACCAAAGAAAACAATGGGGTCTCATTTTGCGTCGGTCTCCACTACGAATTCACTAATGCCATACATAGAATAGTCGATTGTACGTACAATGTGGGTCTTCTCGTAAGTTATTTCATGTAATTTGTGCTGTAAAAATTGTTTATAAACACTCTTATCCTCCAAGTGTCTATAAATTGTAACACAGTGGAACTTCTCTTTATCTCCTATGTGCGACAATTGTGCGCAATAGGCCGTATACTATCCTTTTCAAAATTGTAATCCGCAAACTTTGGCGGTTTGTATCTTAGCAAAAAAAAAAATCGCACAACTGTGGGGCCAATTTCATTCGTTAGATTGAATATTACTCTAGTCCAATACGGAGTTCCATTTTTTTCATCCGATAGTTTCTGCACTATTATGATAAGAAGATGAAAAAAATCATGTTTTTCATGTGCCATGAAAATTAATGAACTTTGACTGAGTCCCAGGACCTCAATTTTTTTTCAAATATCCCAATTTTTGACATGATGGCCCACTTGTTTAAGAATGGAATGGTTAAATAAAAATTTTTTGGGCTCAAATGAAAGAGCGGGTCGAGAAATGGCGTGCTAGGGCCTCTAAACATGACAAATGTCTCTGAAGATAATATCTGTTTTCAGTTGAAAAGCAGAGTTGTGACAACATTGTCTAGGAGGACAATGGGGTCTAGGAGTATGTATAGGAGTGTGGATGAACATTGGGTTCTAGGAGTCTCTCCTGGTTCAAAACCATCTTTAGAGGCATCAGCACGCCATTTCTCGACCCGCTCTTTCATTTGAGCCCAAAAAAACATTCATGAATGTTTTTTTGGGCTCAAATGAAAGAGCGGGTCGAGAAATAGCGTGCTGATGTCTCTAAAGATGGCTTTTTAACCAGGGAAGACCCCTAGACCCCACTGGATAATGTTTTTCACAACTCTACTTTTCAATTCAAAACCAGAGTTCAAAACCAGAATTCAAAATCGAAGGCGAGCATTATAATTACATTCACCAGATAATACTTTTATTGCCGTATGACATACGATATTTTATGTCATTGGGCCCGAGAACCGCGATCTAACCGAGCAAAGCGAGGTTAAAATCACGGTTTATCGGGCCTAATGACATAAATTAAATTAATATATATATGAGAATATATGAGAAGGAGAACAGAAGTCTATAATCACGATAGTATATCAAATAGACATGTACTTGTAAACTATCCACAACCTTTATTCATGTCAATTGATCGGAATTGAACTAATCAAACACTTATTTTCCAACGAAACTTTAGTACATTAGAGTACAAGGGCACAAATTTCCTTTTCAACGAATGTGTAGTTTACAGGCCGAGCCGAAGGCGAGGTCTGTACACACATTCGTTGAAAACGAAATTTATTACCGAGTGCTCTATAATATTTTATGTCAAGTCGTGCAGAAGTCGAGTTTTGAGCAGGCTGCGCGAAGCGCAGCGCGCGATAAACTCGACTTATTGCACGCTGCGACATAAAAAATATAAGTGAACTGTCGATATCCAGATGCTATTCTAAAGAACTCTGCTAACCGCCCTCTCATTCGATGTAAAATACACAGACAGAAAAAGTGGATTAGCTTTAGAAAAAAGTTTCTAAATTTTACAAACCGTGGTATCTAGTCATGTGGGTATGTTTTTGTAGAAAGACATTAGAGTTGGAAAAGATATTAACAAATAAACTTCAACTCAATTAAATTTTACATTGAAGTTTGAAATATTGAGTAACTTTGGATGTCCTGTTTGACTACTGAAATAACTTTGAAATTATTCATTATTTTCAATGAACAATTACACGCTCTACACGACTGACCTTTTGTCCATTTGCGAAATTTGTAAGATGGCTCTCTACACATAAAGGAAATCACCATAATGTAATAGGAGAAAACTCAAAAATGAGTTTTTTTTCAATTTGAAAATCGCAGTCATGATTAGTGTTTCAGAAATTGAAGAATATTGTTGAAACATGAAAAATTGAAGAAGAAATCGACGAGTCCATTTTACCCCTTTTTTGCTTTACCTTGCAACTCCTACGACGCAGTCCTATGATAATGTATTTGTTTTTATAACGGTCAAATAAAGTCAGAGCAGTAGATTTGATCCAATTCAACTCATTATTTGAATCTGGTGTCCATATTGCCCCATCCAACCCTATATCATTCAATTTAAAAAAAACCGCCACTTGCAATCATTGTGCGCGCGCCGCAAGTCACTCCCCCCCTTCACCGTGTCACACGCGCAGTTTGAAAATCAAAATGGAGGGAAGCAACGTAAAAAAAAAAGACCAGTGGTTTGTGTTTGTTGACATTACAAATCCCATTTTCAGGATTGTGCTGTTAACTCAATAAAGTTTTTATGATAAGTGATTGGTGGAGTGTTGCACTTTCAGTGCGAATGTGCAAAGAAATCAAGAACTGAAGTCCCAGGGCATATTTATGGGATGCCGCCGTTGTCAGGAGGACTCGGTGAGCGCATTGAGGTTAGCATTTCAAATTTAATCTGGGTGTAACGTCATTTTTGGAGTTTCATAGTTATACGATTGCATTATTTACCGGGGGTGGCTTTCAGGAGTACGAGGTGCTAAATCTCCTTGGTAAGGGCGGATTTGCCAGCGTCTACAGGGCAAGATGCTTGAAAACAAGAATGGAAGTGGCGATCAAAATGGTAATGGTTTAGGTTAAGTTCAAGCACTTGTTGCTTTGGCATATAAACTTAGTTTACTGTTAGAAAAAAAGCGGATTTTCATGGTCAGTCCACTATCAATTTTCAGAAGAGAGACATCTTAAAAATTCAATGAAGTTCCTAATTTTTAAGCAACAAGAAGACGAGAGTTTCTCAACTTACTTGAATTTTCAATGAAAACAAGAATATCCAGTACCAAATTAAGTTGGCTTTTCAATTAATGCAAAATTCAATAACATATTTACCTGCATTTTCTTCATTTTTATCAATTAAGGTAAATTACCCTACGCTCGTCCAGCTAAGATGAATAGATTATTACTCCAATATTTCTATCGAAATGAGTGTGAAGATGTGATGTTTTAAATTAGACATTAGAAGGTAAAACTTTGAGAATTAGTATTCACTCATATTAATCATGATAACTACTATTTTTTGAAAAATAATTGCCTATAAATGTAGACAGTCCCCTGCACTCGCTCACTTGTCCCCATGCACGTTTGACCCACGTCCCTATCCTCGTCGCGTGATTTAAGTGATATGGCAAGGTTATATCTAACTAATAACATCGTGAGTATCCTATTCTGTGATGAAACAATATTAAAAAATATTTTGAGGCACAAAGATATACGGGAGGGTTGGGTAAAATGGACACTTTTGCCTTTTTTTGACATGTCCATGACTTATTGAATTGTTCGTGAAATGGAATAATTTTATTTTTCAATAGAAAGAACAATGATTCCTCTTTGTGATGAGCTTAGACTGAGCGCAATTGATAAATCCGTTTCTGAGTTATAAATATTTTTTAAAAAGTCAAAAGTGTCCATTTTACCCCATCCTCCCCTATATTAATCGGACAGTCCAACCTTTTAAATGATTTTTTCATCCGTTTAGTCCGTTACCAGTTGACAGTTGATTGCAAAACGAACATAGGATCAATGCCATTTTCATTGTACTTATTCTTTTAATTGGCGATATTTCAGTGAAATATTAAAATATTACTATAATTTATGCATTTTTAGTGAATTTTAATCTACCCGAAACCTCAGTCAAGGGGTTTTTAATCCCATTTTACTGTTGTAACGGAGATATCAACATTTTTTAATGGTAAGGTTCTTAACTTGCGGCTTAAGAATTCACTCTGTCGTAGCACCAGCTGATGTTAAGGTATTTTTCTCTCTTATTCTTCAATAAATCGCGGTTTATTGGTGTCGATAACTTTCCTTGTTAATTAAAATAATAACTCCAATCGTATTTCACTCTTACTAGATTCTTGGGAACGTCAAAATGATTAAAATGTGATAGGTCACGACATCTGAACGAGCATAGGGACAAGGACGAACATAAGTACATTTACCTCGTCATGGAATAATTGAATTAGAATGCACAATTTCCATCGATGTTATCAGCAAATTGTCAATTGTTAGTGATAAAATTCCTTAAAAAGTCAATGAAACTGTTGCTGCATCAAAATGTCCCAGAACTATATCGGCAATTTAAGCCAAAAGTTTCTAACTACGTAATCGATATGATGCTTGACCTATTGTTAAACTGTTCTATTTGCATTTAATTATTGATTGGATTTTGAACTAATTTTTTTAGCTGAAATTCCAAAAAATTGAGGAAGTACTTCTGTATTTATGTAACACCATTGAAACTGATCCTTTATCTCGGGATCGAAGTTGTGTTTATTTTGAATCACGTTAAATTGTTGAAAATGATTGTTTATGATCGGGAATGAATTTTAGATCGACAAGAGAATGATGGAAGCAGCTGGGATGTTGGATAGAGTGGCCCAGGAAGTGTCCATTCATTCTCGACTGAAGCATCCAGCGATACTGGAGCTCTACACTGCCTTTGAGGATATTAATTATGTGTACATGGTGCTCGAATTGTGTCACAACGGGGAATTACAGAGGTTCCTAAAAGCGGAATATCCACATGGGTTTCCTGAGGATCAAGGTTCGTTCACTCATTCTAATTCCTCAATTATTCAATGCATCAGCATCAGTAGCATGAATTCGTACAAATATTCAATAATTGCTTAACTTTCCTTATTATTTCTCCTTCACTTTAATCACTTGAACTTTCTTCCATTGAATGCAATCAGATGAATATATTTAAAAAGAGAGGATTTCATAGAATTTATGAAAAGATCTTTCATTCAGAAAATCTTTTCATTTTCTCTTCTGAATCTATTAGTTTCAGTCATCCAAAGAAATGATTTATTTGAATCGAATGAATTGTTCAAATAGTTCATAATAACGCTTTTATTTAAATTTGAACTTTATTCATATTTCCATTGATCCAAATAATTATTTTATTTGTTGAAAATAAAATAATTTCTTAACCGACAAAGATAACGAATTTATTAACATGTAATGGTTTTCTTATTTCGATTGAATGAACTATCCATTTTATATAATTAAAACATTTCTATTGAAATCAATATATGAGCTTATGGATTTACAACAAAAATATTGTGGAGATAAACAGAAAAATTTCAAATAAAGCGGGTTATTTGGTCCAAATGCAGCATTTCTTGAGGGNGGGGGGGGGGGGGGGGGGGTGTTTAGAAGATAATCTGTGTAAAGTTTTCTATTCATGTCCCCTCATTCACGAACTTCCAACATCTTATCATTGCCATTCCTGCAAATCATTACACATCAAAATTTCGATCAATGTCTGTTCACGTAAAATTACATATTCATGTTTGGAATCATTGAAATTTTCATTTCCAGCTGCTCAAATCATTAAGCAAGTGGTCCAAGGACTTCTGTACCTCCACTATCACCAGATCCTTCACAGAGACATGTCTCTCTCCAATTTATTATTGACTCGAGACATGCAAGTGAAGATAGCAGACTTTGGCCTGGCAACTCAATTGTCCAGACCAGACGAGAAGCACATGACGATGTGTGGAACTCCGAATTATATTTCGCCAGAAGTGGCGACTAGATCGTCCCACGGATTGGAGGCTGATGTCTGGGGTCTGGGCTGCATGCTGTACACTCTCTTAGTTGGGAGACCGCCGTTCGATACAGATGCTGTTAAAAGCACTCTGACAAGAGTAGTCATGGCAGATTACAAGATCCCTTCTCATTTATCGGATATGGCTAGGGATTTGATCGAACGTTTACTCAAGAAGAATCCTAGGGAGAGGATTAAACTCAAGGACATTTCGAAACATCCTTTTGTTGCTCGTTTGGATAAGGAAAGACCTCATCATGTACGTCTCATAGTCATTGAGGTTTATGATTATTTCAGTTCTGTAGCGAAGTGGTAGACTAGGATAAGGGCAAAAATGGAACTTTTCAAGGAGAGTTGAAAGATTTGACTACGTTTGAGAGAACTTTCGATTCAATCAATAGAATTTTTTTTTAACTGCACTTATCCTACTTTATCACTTCACTACAGATTTACACTCAAATTTAAGGATATTCAAGTACTTTGGCTATTCTTTCATCAGTAAAATACTTTTGTAGTCGAATATCAGAGCTTTCATTTGAGCCCCATTTCACCCTAAGTTTCCGGACATTTTACAATTATTTTATTATTCAATCTTGCAGCTCTGATTTTGAATCTCGATATTGAATCGTTAGAAAACATTTTAAAAATCTGAAAAAAAATTGGAAAGTTTTTTCAATTTCTGAAAATTACGAGCATTTTATATGAATAATTTATAAACAATCAATTTTCCACGACAAAAATGATTTGTTCAGAATCGTAACAAATTTATTCATATTCAGAATTTTATCAGAAATCGATTTCATGCTTGAAATGATAAGGTTTCCGAACCTTAAACTCTCTGTTTAAACATTTTCAATTATTTATTCATAAACAACGAAGGTTTAAGTAATAAGGATTCTGTATAAAATGTAATTATTTTCAAATTTTTCTCATGTAATTCCATTGGCAAATTTGATGGTTGAAAATGGTTGAATCTGCAGTATGGTCTGTACCAAACTGTAAAAGATACTTCGATATCCTTAACAAAATTAATTAATCAGAAATCCATAGAATTTATTCTCAACTTTGAGGTTGAAAGTTTGGAGCCTCATCACTTTTACAAGTCATCTCTAAATGAAAATATTTTTCACCTCCAATAATTCTTTCTTTCAGGACAAAATGTTAACAAGAGCAATGTCCGGTGACGTCATGGTGGACTCCGGCCTAGGCCGCACACTCTCCTCCTGTGGCCGCCTGCCTCGACTCCGTTCCCGCTCAGAGGAACGAACCTCGACGGCCCCAGCGTTGATCACCCCCCTGGGTCCCCAATTCTCAGCTCGAAGTGACCCAATGACCGACCCAAACGTCTTGAACCACTACTCTAACCACCGGATGAAACAGACCGACTATTCCGCCGAGAACTCAGTGCTCTCAGGCATTGTTCGTGCTGGAAGCCGCGTGGTCTCCCAAAATATGCAATCCTCCCAGCGAAGTGGGTATGGCGGACATAAAGAGGAAACAGATCGTCAGAACGACGAAAGACAGAAACGAAGGGAGAATCCAGTGCCAACAAACTCTCCTCCGGACCTAGAACCTTACACTAAACTTCAGATTCCACCACTAAATACTGAACGATTACTTCCCGTTCGACACAGGACTAAGAACTTTATCCTAACAATTTTGGACAATGGAGAGGTTTGCATTGAATTCCTAAAAAAAAAGAATTTATCAGTGGACAAAATTAATGAGGTCTGCAGAATATCCAATGATGGACTTCGAATTGTTCTGTATAAACCCGATATCAGGGAAATTGGGGATCAACCGCCACCCTTGCCATCTCGAGGGGCTGATAACATTTATTCGTACGAGAGTTTGCCTTCGAGACACCATCGGAAGTACCTCTACGCTGCTAAATTTGTGAAACTGACGAAGGCGAAAACTCCCAAATTGACGCTTTACACGGCCAAGGCCAAGTGTGCGTTCATGGAGAATGGACCTCATCCAGACTGCGAAATGCTTTTCTACGATGGGATCAAGGTGACGAGGGTCGATGGGGTCGTTAAGTTGTTTGAGAAGGAGGGCGGGGGGATCTATAATGAGGGAGATGTGCCGAGAGAACTAGAGGAGTATTTGGAGGTCTATCAGGAGTGCTATCAGAGGTGCCTGCTGCTGGAGTCTTCGCTGGCTTCTCTGGAGTCTGCTACTGGACACTCGTACTTTCCGGCCATCGTGGGACGCAGACCTGTGGCGATGGGCGATGGGGGGTCTCAGGGCAAGGAAAATGTGTCGAGAACTACGTGCAGTCCTTTAGTTGTGAGTTTTGGATTATTTTATGGAGTTTTAACCGTTGATTTTCAATATTTCATGAGAAATGCTCGAATTCTTAGCTATTTTGCATGCGTCGCACTTTTTCCATTTTGAAAAAACTTGAGATCTTACTTTGAAGAGTCTAGAGGCCCTATCAATGAAAATCTCCGCCAAAAACATCGTAAGTAGTTAGATTTTATATAAGTCGAATTTTCAGAAAAACAGCAACTTTGAGCTTGAATATACAGGATATACAGGATATTAGGAAATGACTTTTTTTTCTCTTAACCCCTGATAGCGTTGCACTGAACATCAAAAATCTCACGGGACCTCTTCAAGTATACGATCTAGATCACTCTTGATTTTTTTCAGATTTTTCTTAGAGCTTTCAAATTTATCATTATGTCGATTTATGCTGTGCTAAGACGTGGATGTGATTATGGAGTGTTAAGATTTTTATGAGTAGATCCACGTCAATTCACCAGGCCAGAAAACTCGATGTCGGGGATTTTCATCTCAATTTTTTTCTGAAGTCCTATCGGCCGCTGTCCATGTCAGATGGACCCTGTCCGTGATTAATAAACATGTATCATCCTTCGTACTATTCTAGATATCAATACGTACTATTTCATGGGGAAATTTTTAGAATTGTAAACAAAAAAAAAATTGTAGCCTGGTGGCTTGGCGCAGTGGGTAAGTTCGTTGCCTCACATGCGAAAGGTTCCAAGTTCAAAACCCGGCCGGGTAGAATGGTGAGATCTAACCATTTGTGGGCATCTACATGAAAAGGGCCCACTTTATTTGGAGTTACGTATATTCCGATAATCTTAGTAAGATTCCTCACATTTTCAGCCAAAAATTAACACGATAGTATGAAAAATGACGTCGGTATAGAAGATCAAAAAATCAGTTTAACATTGGTTTAAATGGAAGGTGTGAACACAAAAACGTGAATATCTCGCAAAATAAATGCGACAAAGTGGGCCCTTTTCACGTGGACGTACACATTCAAAGTCTTGATCACCATCGCAGCCATACCCTAACCAGGTCGAAGCGATGTAAAATAACGATAAAAAACAAACAAAAAATTGGATAAAAAAAATAGATAAAATTATCAGCACAATGCAACTCGATTTTTCTTTTCAAGTTATTTTTAATATTTTTCTTCAATATCACATCGAAAATCAATCCCATAAAGGCTTGTGTAGAAGAAAATCTTTGTTTGCTTCATTTCGTTCAATCGATTACAATAATTTTTTCTAAATTATACGAAAAGGTGATTTCAGATGTCCTCATTAGTTTGAAAAATTACAGAATTTCTAGGAGAGATATTCGTAACAACTGATTTTGATGGGAATTTTGATGGGAAAAATTCTTTTTGTTGGTTTAAATGGAATCAATGTTTTGGGATCTATAAAATTTACTATGAAACGTTCCCTCTGATGAAATTTCCTGAAGTTCTTCAGCTTAAAGATATTTACATTAAAAAAATGCAATCCCATTCGAACTTCTTTTAAATTCCATTTCATAGTTTTCCAAAGTTTATTTATTAATTTGATATAATCATCATTATTTAAATTATGGGAGTAATATTTATTCTTTTTGTGATATTGAGTTATGTTCTACATATGCACATTGTTTCTCATGGTCTCGTCTTTTTTTGCTCTAGATGCCTTCATTCGATGCTACATGCTCAGTAGTCTCAGGCGTAACAACACGTTCGCGGAAGACGAATTCAATGCGCGTCTCTGCCTATAATTTCAACAAAGTGAATGTTCCCGGTGTTGGAGTTGCAACTCAAATGCCATCCGGTGATATCAAAGTGGAGTACAAAGACGGCTCATCACTGACCGTGAGTCCTCAAAGCATTGGAGGTGGAATCGTCTATGAAAGTATTACAGGAGCTATTACCAGATACTCCAAGAATCACCAGTATAACTCAGAAGTGCCTTATCCAGTTCGTGAAAAATTGAAGAACCTACCGACTGTCATAAAACATCTCGCCCAACCAAAACCCAGGAATCTAAGATAATTTTTATGGCCACACAATTTCTCCCAAGTCTACCGATAAATGGAATGTGTATTATATACTTCGACGAATTGAAGCCATAATTTATAGGACTATTTTTATATCAGATTAAACCGGTATGTAAGTACTAGTAATTTTAGAATGAATAAAGTATATTATTTTACAGAAAAATGGAACATTTTCAGTCTGATTGCAGACTTATATTGCATGAGATTTAGCAGCAGATCTTATGAACCAGTTATTTCACTCGTTCTCAATGAGTTTTTATTACTAACTTGGGAATAATTTCAGGAAATGGTTCATTTTCTTTCCTTTTCTTTTCCATTTCCCAAAAAGTTTGAGGAAATTAAGTTTTCGTAAAAACTTAATTCAGTAGTGAAGGGATGAAATGGGCTGGGTTGACTCAATTTCAGGATTAGTTTTCGATGAATCTCTGAATCAGACGAATTTAGTCTTGGGGAGGGTTAGCTCATCTCCACTAACATCATTTTTAAACAGATTTAGTCTTTTCAAAAAAATTGTATTCTCTGTGCACGCAAGAACTGTTATTTCTACGACTACTTTTTCGTTATTTGATGCTCCCATATGCATTTTGCTCTTAACAAATGCTCGTTTTATATAAAAAACGAGGGATAGTATTTTGTCGTTTCGGCTATTCAATAATTGCAGACAAAAAATGAATTCTTAAATGAAATAATCGAGGGCCTACTTACTCCATAATTGAGTGACATCATGATTTCGAAATGAAGTCGATTTCACGTGATTTCGGTGATTTCGAGCGTCACGGAAGGTAATTTCATGAAAAATCAACGATTTCAGAAAAATAAAGTTTATAAGTAATGGAGGTGGGGCAAAACGGGTTGTCAAATTATGGAAATCAAAACTGGCAATAATAACTGGCAAATGATAACGAATTCGTTTTATTCCACTCCGCCAATCTTGAGCTAATGACGATGAAAAGCGGTCTATTTTATTATCATCGTTCGCAGGCATGCCAATTTCAAAATCACGACATTTTTGCACGGTTCGCACGACGCCAGTGCGCCACTGATTTCAGTGATTTCATTGATTTTAGATCATTGCACGTGATTTCGGAGATGATTTCGCAGAGCTGAAATCACTTGATTTCAGTGATTTTACGTGATTTCGGAATGGATTTATGCCAGAGTGGCGCCATGATTTCGGCAGTGAGTAGCCCCTCGGAAATAATAATAATGATATGACAGCAATCTTGTAACTTAGGGACCAAATATTTCTTGATAAACTTCCCTCTATAAAAGACATTTTTATCCTGAAAAGGCACCGTCTTGTCATCTCACACGTGTCGAACAATATTTTTTGACAGTTAACTTACGTCCAGCGAGTGGAAGGACTGTGCTTTTATCGTTTACAAGTAAACGAAGAGTCTTTTTGTTTACTTTTTCTCTACGAGTAAACGAAAAAACACCTTTCGGCACGAGGTGAATGTAACAGCAGTTTTAAAAAAGTTGTTTTCGGCCTCGTAATGAAGAAAGCTCTATTTCAGTTATCGTCGAAAAATGATCTGTCAAATTTACACATCCGGACATGGTCTAAAAATAGCATATTCGAGCTCGTGAGGTCAAAATTAGTTATTCTGATGCAAAAAATTGTAAACTTCGAATTTCACGAATACAACGCTTCTATTCGCGCGCAAAAACATGTCACGTAATATTTGAATGGCCCTCAATCACTGGAGAGACTAAAACGATCTCACCGCAGAAAATGAGGAAAATAAAGGCTTAAGTTACCGTATAGAATCCCCTCGTGAATCTCATAGAATTAAAAATTAAAAACTATTATTAAATTTTACTGAAAAGAATTATTATTATTTCGATTGATTGATTTTTCAGTTTTATGATTATTCTATTTTATTTATTACGTCAGATAAGAAAAAAAGTAAATTTGAATGGTCGATGGATTATTTTCCCCGGGAGAGTATTTCAAATTTATCCCAGGAACAAAAAATAAAATTTAATCCCAAGGTTAAATCAGTGTTAATTCAAATGGGGCTACAGGATAAATAAAAAAAATATTCTTCGGGTAACATGGAAAAATTATGACCCCTACGATATGACCCCGAGGTTGACTTTACCCTGGGGTTGATTTGGATAATAGGGCTTGGTGCAACCGGGCCTTAGTATTTAAAATCTTTTCATTTACGAGTAAACGAAAAGGCATTTTTCGGCACAAGTTGAACGTAGCAGCAGTGTCAAAATAGTATATTTCGTGCTCGTTGAAAAAAACATTTTTTCACGAGTTACGAACAATATTTTTCATCACAATGTGCCGAAAAGTGAACTTTTCGTCACAGCGTGATGGAAAAGTTTTTTTCGGCCTACAAAAAATACAAAAAATTGTAAATTTCGAATTTTACAAATCCAACGCTTCCATTCGCACCCAAAAACATGTAATATTCGAGTGGCCCAATCACTCGAGATTAAAACGGTCTCTCAGCGCAGAAAAAAAGGAAACTGAAGCCTAAGTTACCGTAGAGAATCCCCCCATCAACCTCATAAAATGATAATACAAAACCCTCCCCTGTAATAATGACCCTGGTGAAAGTGCAATTAACATACCCCACCTACTGATTCATAGACCTCAGCCGACAATCGTGTCACCCATCCCATCCCAGGCCTCCCCAATCCCCAAAAACCCTCTCGACCGAGCCTCCTCTCCCATTCATACATATCCCACAACACCGACCAGACTCAACAAGCCATCCCGATCAGTCCGAGCAATAAAAAAGTCATTCACTCCCAGACAAAACCCTCAACATTGCAACATTACACCGAGAGCTCAACGGTTCCCAGTCTCCGTTCACCGTGCAATCCGCCATTTTGGATTCATTGAGTGCAACATCGTGCGCAGAGTCCGATGACATTTGCGTGCCAATGAAAATAAAAACAGCTTTCCTGGAATAATAACAGAGCAATAGATCCAAAGTGCATTAGAAAGGATTTCCAACGATTTTCGGTCAATTTTGTTCATGTGAATGAGTAACTGAAGCACTCAGAGCCCTGAAGAACGTTAAAATCTGTTTAGAGTTGTTTTCTCAATCGTTATGGTGTAATGAGAGAGTAAACAAGTGTCTGTGACGTGTCCTGGGAGTTTTTAGTTCGTAATTGCGAGTGGGATGATATTTATTAGAGATATTTGAGGGGGACGACAATCCTTCAATTTTAAGATCATTGCTGGCTGTTGGAGGAGGTTAGGATAGCGTTCAGTGGCTGGAGAAGCGTCCACACCCGTTTTTTAATCAAGAACCATCAACAATGGGTAAGAACTTCACTGAATAACGTTTGTTTCACCTGGAAACATCAGCTTTTTGTATCACTCAATGCTCAGGATGTGTTTACACTCCACTGGGATGTGGTAAAGTGGAGAGACTAGTGTGCAGTCGTGTTTTGGGTCTTTGTCTTATCGATACTCGTGGTGATAAAACGATCTGTCGGTGATACGATAATCTATGATTCGTTTTCCTTCCTGGTAATTGGAGAAGTACGAGTGGAGGGGAATTTGTTAGTCATAGATCAGTCATCTGTGGCTTGTGGAACGATTATTGAATGTTACATGGGAAGATTTCACGGGGATTTTGATCTTTTGAGTTTCGTTTTTGTTTTACGTTGAGTTTTGGAGGACGAGGGGGTATCATGGGGAGGAGAAGATATAGTAGTGCAGAGGATGAGGGAACTGTGAGGATTCCTTTGAGGAGTAGAGTTGCAAGTGCTGGTAGTATTGATAGGTATTCAGAACGTAGCCTGCATGGTGTCTCGGATGATGACAAGCCTGGGGGTAAGGTTTTTTGGAGTGTTGAGAGTGTCTGAGGGAATCAGGCCCGGAGTGATATCTGCTGACAAATAATTTTTATTTATGAGCGAATCCGCCAATTCCGTGTACGAAAAATTGCCTCAAAATTTTAAGGTTTTTTTCTATTTTCCATCGGAAATTATTGTCCAAAACGAGAAAAATGAGCGATTTTTTTTTCTTCTAAAAACTTTTTTGTTCAATTCTAATTACAAGCCACTAAGAGTGACAAAAAATTTGAGCTCAAAATTTTGTCGGAACATTTTCTCAGCTTTTCGAAAAAAAATTGTTTCTTATGTTTCTATGTATTTTGGCATGCAAAACTCAAAACGAAAATTTCAAACGATCGTTTGCGGTGGTTCCCCATACTTTTTTGTTTTTGCTTCCGAATGCAAGCATTGTAATCGTTCAAATTGAAGTTTTGAATTTTTTTGTGTTATATCGACCCATTATGATCCAAAAATTTCGAAAGTGCAATTTTTAAACCGTGTCCGTACGTATGTGCATGTAGGGGAGGGTGGGGTAAAACGGACACTTTAGACTTTTCTTTTAATATTCATAACTCAGAAACAACTTGATCAATTGAGCTCAGTTTAGACTCGTCACAAAGGGAAAGAATTGTTCTTTGTATTGAAAACAAAATTATTGAATTTTATGAACATTTCAACCCCTCATTAACATTTTTAAAAAAGTCAAAAGTGTCCGTTTTGTCCTAACCTCCCCTATGTATGTGTTGCAAAGTTTTTTTTCAATGGTTCGCTAATGAATGAATGGAATTGAATCTTTTTTTTCAAATGCCGGTATTGTTGACCCCTATTGATCGCCATTAATTAAAATTTAATTCATCGATTAGTTTTTTTAATTTTTGAATTTTTTCCTAACTCGGTTGTCCTACGATAACTAAAAAAAATGTTCCAAATTGATTGAATGATAGCTTAATATATTTGTTTGGATGTCCCTTTGACCCAATCCGAAGATGAAGGCGATAGCAATAATCATTACTTTGATTTATTCGAAAATTTTCTAGAATTTTGCATTTTTTGAAAATTGGAATTCCGGAGATATTTTTGAATACCATGCATCAAATGAATTCAATCACAGCTTAAAATGGCTTTTTTTAATGCCATTAAATCGAAGTTAAAAGATTATTACGGTAGCTATATTGTTTGATTTGATTTTTATGACGATTGTTGAAAATTTTGACTTTTTTATGAATTTCTCTGAAAGTGAGCTTTTTGATGGGTTCTTCAAATGTGATGTTTCAAATTCATTCAAGTATGTGTAAATAAAATTTTTCTATTGACATTTTATCGAAGGGCTGAACGGAGAGATAGCACTGTAAAAAAGACAATCGGTTTTGTAGAAGAAACGGGATAATAAGAATAATGATGCTGATAACATTCAACTAAGTTGAAAATTTGACGAAATTAGGGGAAAGGAAATCTTATTCAATTTAATAAAATGAAATAATGAATTATACATGATAGAAGGAAATGATGTGCAAAATAACCATTCGGAAGCATATTGCTAATTTATTAGAAAAAATAACGATATAATATAAAATACAAGGGCAAGGGCAATTTCACACTTGTTTAGGTATGAAAGTGATGTTTGGTAAAATTCTGAATATTTAATTCCATTTCATTTTATTTCATAAAGACTCAACAGCACAAGGCCAATTACAGGAATATGAAAAGCAATGTCAAGATTCCGAACAAATGATTTTAATGGTGGGAAATTGATTGTTTACAAATTGTTCATAGAAAATACTCGTAATTTTCAACAATCGCAATTTTTAAATCATTTCACCAATTTTTCTCCAACAGTAAACTTTTTATTTCTTTTTGGATTTTTAACATTTTTTCCAACGGTTCGATATTGAGATTCAAATTCAAACCTGTAAACTTTAAATAATAAAATCATTGTACAATGTCCGGGAATTTAAGGTCAAATGGGGCTCAAATGAAAGTTCTAATGTTGGACTACAAAAGTAGAAAAGCATTTCACTGGAGAAAAAATAACTGAAGACTTGGATATCTTTAAACTTCATTAAAAATTAATAATTTGATGAAAGAATCAATGAAAACTGGAAATTATAGTTCAATTATGATATAACAACAGGAAAATATCTTATTGTTGATACTAATTTTCAATAAATTGAAAATTCATCACGATTTTGTATTGAATATTCATGTTTATATTCATTCGAAATTCTGTTGCATTTTCAATGACATCTCAAATTTCATGATTTTATGCTTCCCCAATCGAATTTAATGTCGCTCTCCTGAAAATGACGACTAAACTGCCCATGCACTTCCCTTTTGTTTTCTATCAGTATATTCATGGATTTGCATTGATAAATTCATCGATAAAGATTATTCAGAGATTTGCTAGAAAATATTCTAAGATATGACCTACTCCCGTTTTCCTTGAAATCAGATAGAAAGTTACTTCAATAAATGATTACAGGCGAAGTTTTTAATAATTTTCAGTAATTTATATTTATTATTGAAAGCGGAAATGCCATTTATTGAGAAACCATGTTCATTTGAGGGACTACCACTTGGATATCCTTAAGAAGGCGGTCGATTGGGTTTTGATTCGAGTTAATTTGTGGGTTATTTTGATTGGATTTTTACAGGTATGTGTAATGACTGCATGTCCAGGGTGCCTTATGCCACCCTGATTGCCACGATAATGTGCTGCCTGGGTGTGGGAATATTCTGTGGCACCATGTACAGAGGTGCTACGCTCACTGCACTCATGATGGAGCAGGTATGAACAAATTAATAAATGTCTGTGTAGTTCTTATTCAATTTTTTCTGGAAAATTGAAGGTTTCTTGATATTTTTTCGAAAATAATTAATCGTAGGGATAATTACCAAGTAATGAGGGATTTGATAGATTTAAGGGGAGACCGCTGTGAAATTTGCAAGTTGCAGGGAGTTGTCTCTATCATACAGATGACTTTGGTACTTATTTTTTATCATTCCGACAATTTTTGTTTTGGATGATTTATTTGAATAAAATGTGGCATAAATGCGGAAAAATTACTCAATAAAAATCTACAAAAGTAGAAAAAAAAAATTTGGTATATATTAGGTATAATTGAGCTTTACTTTAGTTCCTCAGTAGGGCCAGTAGTTCCTCAGATATAACTGGTTTAAATTTTGTTTTTCCACAATATCTCAGAAACTAATACACCGATTTTTTCGTAAATGATTGTGTAACGTTTTACATATTCCTTGTACCATAATGCAAGTGAAATATAACATAACTAGCTGTGTGGCGCGGCTTCGCCTGGGCAGAATAAGAGAAAATTGAATACCAGGAGTTTTGAGATTTCCTGCAATTAAAAAATACACTTCAATGTTTTCGACTTGTCTAGAATATTCTCTATTTCTTTGGAAAACCCTCAAATTTTCTTGATTTCGCGGGTGTTCTAGAAAAGTCGAAAAACATTGAGGTGTTTTTTTTAATTGCAGGAATTCTCAAAAATCCTGGTATTCAATTTTCTCTTACTTACAGGCGAAACCGGGCCATACAGCTACTCAATCAGAATTTGAAATGAAATTACTCAATTGGAACACAAAAAATATTTTTAGAAAACCCGAGGATTCCTCAAAATTTTCCAAAAAATCCGAGAACTTCCTCGAATTTTCTAGAAAACCAGAGAATATTCTCGTATTTCCTAAAAAATCTGAAAATTTTCTAGAAAATTTTTTTTTTTTTTTAATTCTCTGTGAAATCAAAGAATTTTCTGGAATTTTCGGTCAAACTGCAAATTTTCTTAAATTTCTTCGAAAACCGGAGGATTTCTTCGAATTGTTTAGAAAACCTGAGAATTTCCCGGAATTTTCTATAAAACCAAAAAATTTTCTCAAACTTTCTATAAAACCCGAAAATATCCTCAAATTTTGTAGAAATTTCAAAAATATTCTCGACAACTTGAGAATATTCTACAATTTTCGAGAAAGTTCCAGAATTTTCCAGAAAGCTCTAGAATTTTCTAGAAATTTCTACGGCGCACACTAAATTATGCACCGTAGCGCAATAAATTATAGCCTAAAGCCCATTGGGGACCATAAGCTATATAATAATAAAAATACCATTGAAATCCATTCAGTCGTTTTTGCGTGAATCCCGGCTAAAGAATGGGCAAGAGATTTATTATATTTAAGAAGACATAATGTATACATAATTTTCATACAATGGGACATAGAAAGATGAATTTATTTGACTGTTTTTAATTCACCCACAGGTCTTTTACCTTCGACTGAGCTGGCTGGAAGCCCTGCAGTTGATTTTCGCAACACTCGGTGCATGTATGGCTGCTCTCGGGTTCATGATCCTTTGTGTGGGCTGTCTGGCTACTGGTGCTACCAGGCACAAAGTTTATCGAGCCTGGAGGGCTAGGGTTGGAGGTCGAATCACTTGTGCTGTGGTAAATATTCTCACATACGGAACACTCGACTTTATGATAATTTCTTGGAAATTTATTCATTTGATTTTTTTTCTGCAGTTTATGACAATTACTTATGTCCTGACACTCGGATGGCTCTTGATCTTTGCATTTTTGGTCATTACGACGTTGATCTTCACGATATTCTGGGGATTGTGTGGAAATCCTCGTATACAGTCGGCTGCTGATTGTATAAATTTCACGCAATTTGGTAAGAAACACATTATATTGACTACAATATGAAATTTTCAGTAAAGATTTCTGGAACTGAAAAGAATAGACAAAGAGGGGAGGTGAACTTTCGGGGAATTAGTCTAGTAAAATGATGAGATATAATATTTCAGATTTTTTAATTTTTCCTAAATGATGATCATTTTATTTATAAAAATATTGATTTGAAGAGAAAATGTTAGCATATTTTTTTATAGCCCACCAAATTACCAGCAAAAAATATCTTTTTACATGAATATGATAAGTCGACTTGAACTGATTTTAATGAGGTTCATCCATTTTCCAAAAATCTAATTCTTTTATGTCCGATAAAAATTTTGTAATTTCTGAGACTAATGGGGGAAAATGTGACACCACAATTTCAGATAATAAAAATTAGTCGAAATGAAAAGAGCAAGAATTTTCTCACACATGTATGCTCATGAAATTTATTCTCAATTTGATAATCGATCTACTGGAAGAGTCCAAAAATAAACATAAAAATGGACAATGTGAAATAATAAACTGAATCCGATGGACAACCCTGGGGTACTCAAGAGAATGATATAGATATTTAACACTTGAAGCTTCATATAACCCCATGTTAATTGCTGTATGCGTTGTATATTATCTTCTTCAGTAGCGAAGCAGTGAAACGGTTCAAGTCGATTTTGATTATTGGCCAGTTTTCAGTGAATATCCCAAACTCTAGGGGAGATAGCAAAATTTTTGTTATGACCTTTTTTGTAGCCCTCATTTCACTCTTCAAAAAAGCTTATCACGGAAATTTCGTTATCTGCCTTAGATTCGAAGATATTCTTAAAAAACTCAGCTAAAGGCTAAATCGATTGAAACCGTTTTACCGCTTCGTTAATGATTTTATTTCTGAATAACATTTTTATCAAAATCAAGGCCATAACTTTGTCCACATCCTTCCTTAAAGGAAACCGTTATCTCTCAGATTACTCTTTCCTTGACTTATATTCACTTTCAAACATTATTTTTCCAGAATTTATGTTCCCCAGCAACATGAGGGATGAAGACCTGAAGATCTGTGGCCCCAAGGAAATAAAAGACTTCTGTAAAGATGGCGTTGAGAAGGCAGAGGTCATGTTCATTCTGGCAACAGCAGCGTCGATGCTAGTGATTCTCAGCTTGGTCCACTACCTGATGTGTCTCTCAGCCAACTACGCACACATTCGCGATCACGAGAAGTTCCAGGAACTTCAGGAGCTCCAGTACCTCCAAGATCCTGGTGATGGGGAATCTCCACAGCATGGGATGGGCACACTGACCCACCACCGCAGCAAAGACAGGTTCTAGGATACAGCCCGCGAGATCTTCGCCCTGACCCCCATTTGAAGTCTCCCATATTTCTATTCATTTATTTTAAATAACTTGGGGGAGATAAATGAATCTCTTTCGTCGTACAACATCAATCGCACTTTGGGTAATTCCTTATCGTTATAGATTAGGTGCCTACATATCACTAACAGAAAAACAAGAATTTGGAGTCAAAAATATTTTGATCTATGCAAAACTGAAGAGAATTTGTTTTATTTTTTATTCGAGAATTGAAATGCTTTTGACTTCACATTTATTTTTGGGAAAGAATCAGAGTAGTAAACTCATTTTATTCAGTTGGGGATCCATCGACCGGAAGATCTTGCGGGAAGAAGGATAAATGATGAGGAAATCTGTTGTGAAATGCTAAAATGTCATGAGTCGAAATTCACGTTTTTCTTAAATATGACTTTTTTTTACTAAATCATCCATTGTCGAGAGAATTCAGTAATTAACAATCGATAAATAAAGTTCAATGTGGAACACTCGTTAATTACCTGATTATCTTGGACGTGATGGAGAAAAGTTAAGACATTTTTTGGCAAAATCAGTTGTGCAGATATAACACATCATACGTAACGAGACGTGAAAATCGATTCACTGCGTTTTATCACTTCACGGTTAAAATTATTTTCGAAAGTCTCACGTGACAATCAAACATATCTTCCAATTGCATTTTTTCTTACGTTCAATTATCTCTAGTTCACGTGAGAGATACGGTTGTGCATTCAATGAGGTTTATTTAATCTTAAGCTTCGTCAAATTATTTATATAATTTTATACCCAAGAAATGCACAAATTGATTGCATTCCACGGCCTCGCACTATCGTATTAATTAAGTAGTACCACGAATTCCTATTTTTGTACTGGCAATAATTTTTGCTCATTTGATATTTGGTATGATTATTCATTTGTTGCACAAAGTGTGTTCATTTATATTTTTTATTAAAAAAATAGAGGTTAATAAGGGCGCTATTTTGAGGGAGAGCATTCGGTTGCAATAATCAAAAAACCGGTCTGGTGTATCCATTGCATTTTCAATTATACTTGTACTAGGTTAACTAACAAACAACAACATTGTCTAAAATAAGTACAAATTTATCAGAAACACAAAATATGTCGAAGGCCAATTTGATACAGCTATCAATTATCCATAGTTTGGCGATAATTTTTGTTTTTATATCCAATTTTTCTAATAATACTCCACTTCATGAGAGATGGAATGGTTAATTAAGTTTATGAATTCCGTAGTGAAGTGGTGAAAAGGAGGAAGTAAAACCAGATTTGAAGATCATATTGAGAATGAAATATCTCTAGAAGGAAGAGGTTTGAAAGGGAATGCCAATAGACGTCGTCTATGGGGAATCCTACGGTCTATAAGAAAGGAATCATGACATTTTTTTCTGCAGCTCTTCCTTCCGAAGCTATTCATAGGCCTACCTCATGTTTTTTACCACTTCCCTACACAATTCATTCCGCACATTTCTCTCGTTTTACATTATTTTTTGTTAAATGAACAATTTATATATTTTTAATTGGGGATTAGATAAGTAATGAGACATGAGTGGAGAAGTGGTGCAACAGTTCAAGTCGAATTAAACATGAATATTATTCTAGGAGAAAATAATTTTAGGACATATCAAAGACTTTTATCCAATGAAGAGATTCAAGTGGAGAATAAAATATCTACCAGTAGCGTGATCACCTCTGAGGGGTGCATCTTTACAAGAATCATGTCAGGACTTGTTGTAGGGAATTTTCTCGGCTACAAAAAATATCTTTCACCTTTTTTTCTTTTCGTCACTCATTATCGACAGTGTTGTCAGATCGTAACGTCAGCCCATTTAAAATTGTACAGGATTTGGCTATAAATAGCCAAAATCTGGCAACCCTGATTATCGAGATGATTCCATAATTAAATCTTTTTGAACAAATTGTCGATTCGAATCTAGTCGCCACTTCTCCACGAAATATATTGCTCCACTTGTGCAGTTTATTTACAAAAAATGTACTATTACTGCTGTGCCAAATTCATCAAAGGTGAGGCTAAAATTGAGGAGCTTAAAGAGTGAAAAATGCGTAACTGCAAAGGTTGAAGGAACATTCTCAGACATACGTCCATATAGAAAGTATTATATCTGTTTTCATTGCGTTCTCATTCGCTCAAGACATTTTTCAATACGGCGTGACTATTCGCACCAAATACGGGTGATGTGCGGATAATGTACGGGTCATACGGCTAATCTATGGGTGGCCTGTCGGTTCAGCCTGAAATACGGGGTAAATGTCTTGTACGGATTAATGTACGGGTCAAAAATGACCACTGCTAAGTTATCTGAACTGACTCATATTATCTACCTGAATTATCTGCACGGGCTACATCTGTATGGGTTCGTCATTTTATATGGAAATATTGGATACCACTTAAATACTGAACTTAGATTCACGTGGCTGCATTTTCAACTTGAAAAAAAAATGGAATAATTTTTAGAAAAAAAAAAGAATATGTACGAAAAGAATTTGTTCTTCCTTTTTCTAACATAATCTCTGTCCGATTTGACCCATCATGGACGAAAAAATTCGATAGAAAAATCTAACGAATTGAATAGAATATTAGATTGTATTTCTATTCAACTCCTATTGAAAACTCTATAATAATCACTATAGTTTATAGCTGTTCCTATGGAATAATTCCGCAGGTTTACAACGCGTTTTTTTCATAGAAAATGTCCAAGAGAACGCATTTCATAAAGAAAATCAGTAGTATTTTATCTTTATCTTTATCTTTTTTTCATACACACGTGTGACATATTCTATTTTTTTATGAATTCACTATTCGAAACGGTAGTGGGGGAAAAGTAATTGGTTTTGTATACAAGTGCGCAAAGCCCAAGAGCGTGCGCAGAGTGAATTTCGAGTGCGTAGCACTTTTCAGGCAGAAAAACATAAGAACAAAATTGCACTACTTTTGATTTTTTTCCCACCAGCAAATTGGAGTCTCCCTTCAGAACAATTATAAATTAATTTCATTCCCTACATCGATTATTCTCACATTTTTTGAGAATCCTAAAACTGCTCACATTGTCGAAAGACATATTTTTTTGCAATGAAATGTGTCAAGATATATTCAAATAAAGCGACAAAAAAATTTGAAAATTCAAACAGAATAAAAAACAAAACATTTGGGTATGAAATTTTGTTCTCTAAAATTAATATATTGAGTTGAAGGGGTTGGAACCTGTTTCGGATTCCGTATAAACTCCTTTATTTGTCTTCGCAAATACACAATCAAAAAATTTGAGGAAGTTTACAAATAACATTTCCTCATCAGGAAACGCTCTCAACTTTTTCAGAATTTTTGATGATGTAGAAACATATAGGCAATATATGCTCACTCGACGAAGAATCTCTCATATATCGAAAATTCTATAAATGGCAATAATACTTCAATTTACGCGTTTATACAATTCGAAATCTGCAAATTTGTTCATGTACAACCGTCCAGCTAATTTGACGAGATGATTTGGTTCCGTTCAGATAATTCGGTAGCAGTCACTTTTCGCCCGTAGAAAAATCCGTAGAAGACATTTTTACCCCGTAGTTTAGGCTCAACCGACCGGCCCCCCGTAGATTAGCCGTACGACCCGTACATTATCCATACCTCACCCGTAGATCACCCGTATTTGGTGCGAATAGTCACACCGTTTTCAATAAAGAAATTACGAAGATAAATTATGAATGCAACTCTATATACATTATATAGATATATAATGACGAATATATTATTGCTTTGTCGAAAGTCTTTGAGAATCTGCGATATTTAGTGACAGCGTCAGTGTTAGGTGATTGTCATTAAACAAAAAAATTCCATCGATCACCAAATTCATGTACAAATGATTGAGAAAAATCGACTAAACTCAATGAAAACATTCGAAACTGTCTACATATCAAACGGCAGCTAAATACATTCTTTATTTGGTACTGAAGATTAAGACACGTTTCAAATATCTGTGTTGATACTAATTACGTAGATGACATCTACAAAATAAATGAGTAAAGCGTATTATATAAAGAGAGAGATTATCCAATTATCGTTCGTAACTCGAGATTTAATGTTTATTCACCTGAATCGCTATTTATGTTTGCGTTCAGGTATGTATTGTAATCTTCAATTTCTGAAGGAGGTAATAAAGATGAATATTGCAGAACAGGTGTAGATAAATTTTTGGTTTATTTGGTCTATGTACAGCTTAAGTTAAAGAGGGAGAATTTTACAAATTTGGTTTAATCATCGTCGTACTGAAAATCGAGCTCCAGGTCCAGGGCGTTCACCTCCTGGAGGGTGTTGATGAATGTGTACCTGGAGAAGAGCATGTAGAGCTTTCGGAACCAGACGTATTGGGATTTGTGGGCTGCCATTGCTCTCTAAAAAAATTATTCCATTTTTAAGGAGTTCGAGAATTTTACTGCTTTATAATTATGTGATTATCAGGATCATTAATCATCGCAGGATCATTTAGTGGGGGGAAAAATTCCCCACAAATAGGGATCTTGGTGATTATTTCTACCATTATTCATGTCAAATATAACATTCGGAATGAATGAATGATCCACGCCAAATCAGCAGGCCAAAAAAGTCGAACCTCGGAATTTTGTTTTTTTTTTTTTTTCTGAAGAGGGCTATAGTCAAATTAAAATTTCTTTTCCCTTTGAAAAATTGTATTTCAATTGTTTTCATTGAGAAATCAACATTCCGACAATGGAAACCATGGAAACCTGTGGTCTGAAATTAGGTTTCTGAGGACAAAGTAGATTTAGTTGGACTATATTACACAAAAAATTTGAAAAACAAGTTAAAAAATATTGGTAACTGAGGAAATTATGATTTTTTGAAAATTTGTATTTTTTTCCAATGATTTTCGTTTTTTCCCAGTTGACTCCAATATTTCAGCGAATATGAAAAGAAAAGAACATGAAAACCCCCTCAAAGTGAGACGTCATATATAGCATTATCTTCAGTTTGGTGAGAATTTATACGAGAAAAGTTTTTTCCAATCGTTAATTATTCAATAACCCAATTTTTACACAATCTGAAATTTTCGCCAAAAATTGTCAATAAAATGACAAGAATTTTTCGCGCCAATAAGAGTTTGTCTTTCGCCGTAGTTCAGCGGTTATTAATTTTTTTAGTGGGACAAGTATTGAAAATGATCGAAAATCGCCATTATTCGTGCAATGATTCCCCAAATAAGTGAATATTCAATTAAATATTAGGAAATGATGAAGGTGAGATTCATTATATCGCGTGTCTAAAATCAAAAGGTCGTATGTGCCAAAAATTGCCTTCCTTGGCAAAAGGTCGTATCTGCCAGTATATACGACCTTTTACTATTAGCAAACCCACGAAATGAACCCCAAAAAGAATAAAATGTCCTATGTTGAGGCGTGAACGGAGAAACGCCTTTTTGCTATTCATGAAGTAAGAACAAACACTCACCTAAAATAAGAAGGTCGTATATCCAATTTCATTTTTTTTCTTGATGCCAATATGCATATCGTGTGTTTAAAAGCAAAAGGTCATATATGCAAAAAATGGCTTTCCCCGGCAAAAGGTCGTATCCGCCAGCATATACAACTTTTTGCTTTTAGGAAACCGATCAAAGTGACCCCAAAAAATTAAAAATTAAATATCTCGAGTTTAGTTATCAATGGAGAAACGACCTTTTACTTTTGATGAAGTTAGAAAAATGTCTCACCTAAAGCAAAAAGGTCGTATATCTAATTTTATATTTTTATTTATTTTATTTTTAACGAAATTTGTTGCAAGTTCGAGAACTTGTAACTGGCCATCGCCCGAGGGCCTTCAGCCAAGACCAATTTTATATTTTGTTTGCACTTTGATATTTCCATCTTTTTGAAAAAGTTTCCTCCAATTTTACACATTTCTCATTACAGAAATTAGAATATCCTCCTAGTCATTGAGAGAATGAGGAATATAATTTCTTTATCCGTCGAATAATCATGCGCTCATGAATTCAAGATTGTTGATCATAGTCTGAAGAACTTTCAAATTCCCTCGAAACATGGTTCAGCATACACAGATAGAAAACGGGGATTGGCTTTAGAAAAAAGTTTCTAAATTCTAGAAACCGCGGTTTCTAACGTTCAGTTTTCTAAAATCTAGAAGTTTTTTCTAAGTTTTAGAAAAAAAAGGTTTAAAATTAATTTCCATTTCGATCATTAATTGTAAACGATTTTTTTCTAGCTCCGTTACTAAATATACTTGATTTTAGAAAACAAAATTTCTAAAATGTAGAGAACTTCTTTCATTCTTGCAGGGGCATTTTGCAGGNAATTCCCATTTCGATCATTAATTGTAAACGATTTTTTTCTAGCTCCGTTACTAAATATACTTGATTTTAGAAAACAAAATTTCTAAAATGTAGAGAACTTCTTTCATTCTTGCAGGGGCATTTTGCAGGGAGGGGGAGGAGGGATTGTGAATTGAGAATTGACAACCAAAAAAATTGAGTCAGTGAGTTTCCAAGAATATCTGCAAAACTAAGGGAGATGGCGAATTTTTGCGAAAATTGTCGGGTGGCGAGATGGGGACAGGGGGGTGGTGTGCATTAAGAATTGACAACCATGCGCAGAAACAATGAGTCGGTGAGTTTTTTAAAAATATCTCCAAAACTAACGGAGATAGCGAATTTTTACTGAAAATTTGGAGGAGAGGGAGGTTTTATGGAATTCTCGATGTACACCCCCTCCCTTCCGCAATTTTTCAGTAAGAATTCGCTATCTCTCTTACTTTCGAAGATATCTTTGAAAAACTCACCGATTCAATTTTTTTGGTTGTGAATTCTCAATGCACAACCACCACCCCTGCCGTCTTTTCAAAATCCCCCCTCCTCACATCTGAAATTCCCGATATTTGGGGACCCCTCCCTATGTATGCGGCACTTAAGCCCTTTAAATACCTCGGTCGTAATTTTTTAGTTCAATCTGAAAATTTTCTAAAATTAAGAAAAATTCAGCATTGCTTTTAGAAAATTTTTGTTCTTAAAAACAATTTCCAAAATCCTTAGTTTTTCTTATCCCATCAAGGATAAAGCTTAAGAATTGGAGTTTCGAAAATCGAGAAACTAGTTTCTAAAGCTAATCCACTTTTGTTTCTCTGTGCTTTACCTGCCTCTCCCATTTAACCCTCGAGAGTACACGGGATTCTTCCGATCACTGCCCTGATGGACCCTTAAAAATAAAGATCGCTTCAGTTCCCTAATTTAGATTTTTTTTTAGATTCGTTCTTTTGTTACGAATACGTAATACACAAGCGTATCTTCAAAGAGGTATACAAGGGGTGATTAGTGCACAAAAAATGTTTAGAAAATAGAAACATTTTGAGAGTTTTCACAATGTTCCGAAATATACGAATCTGGATTAAAAATGGAGATACGCTGTTCACACAAATGGTGTTATTAAGTTGCCGATATAATTATTTGACCATAATCAACGATACGGATAACTTCAGATGACATCGACTGGAATATTGAAGGTATAACTTGGCCACGGAACTGCAAATAAAAAAATCCCAAATTTTGTCTTTACGACCTTTTGCTTTTAGGTCAGTCTCGATTTCTGAGGACAGAAATTAAAGGCAAAAGGTCATAGATGGTAACAAAAATTAAAAAATTTGTCATTACGACTTTTTGCTTTTAAAGAATTTTTCATTTCTGGGGACATAAGTTGAAGGCAAAAGGTCGTATATGCAGCTCATCATTAATCTGAAAATGTAGGTATTATAATAAGTTTCTCCAGTATTTTCACGAATAAGTGTAGTAAAAATTAGTGGAGATACGACCTTCTCGCTTTAAGAAACTCGGAAAGTAGCTTTTTGGCGTTTACGACCTTTTGCTTTTAGACACGCGATATCTTCTCTTATGCATCTATTTCCATTGTATAATTGGAGGAATATTGGACTGAATAGGAAACAAAAATCAGTGAAAAAAAAAAATTTCAAACAAAAATGTAATCCCACAATTATTAATATTTTTCAAAACTTTTGTCTAATATCTATCTCTTCAGAAAAAAATTGAGCCGAAAATCCGCAGCACCGATTTTTTTGGCCTGGATCTGACATGCAGAATACAGAATATTCTGATAATATTTCCTGATTTCTACCCATTAGTGAGACAATTCCATAATTAGCTCCAAGAAGTTTTTGTGTTTCATTTTTTCAACTTACGTGAATGAGTTTACGTTGCTCGTAAGTGACCAAATACCAGTAGGAAGACGTCAACAGACTGATTGGTAGATCCAAAAGCTGGACGTATTTTCTTATCAAATTAACAGATTCCAGAATGTACAGTTTGCAATCTGAAATCAACAAAATATTATCATTAAAAATGTTGAGAATTGATTTAAGAGAAGCCATGCCGGAATATTTACAGGAGGGTATTTTCTTCTCGATGCACAGCGATGCAACGGCATAAAACAACGATATATGATTTCTATGTCCGCTCACACCGTGTTTATCGAAGGTGACTACTGCATTTATCTTATATGTCTCTATATATTGCAAAATATGCTCTGCCACAATTTCTCCCGGCCATTGTACTTTTGGGTCATCAGGTAGCTCTGAATTCCTGAAAGAATCATAAAAGTCATCAATATAATCAACAAAAATTGGATAAAGTTAGTGTTTGAGGAGTGTAGTAGCAAAACAAGGCACGTTGAAATAACAGTTCCATAAATTTTTCAGATTATGTTTCAAACAATTTCAGGAAAACATTCTTTGTTTAGAAAATTCTCTAAGAAAAAGACCTCATGAACATGTCCCCATTTAAAAAGCGAAACGAGTCATGCAAAAAATGAAATGTTAACAAATTTTCCATTCATTTTGGAAATTAATAAATTTATGCAACCTTTATAATCTCTTCTCTTTAAAAATGGTATATCTTTTCAATACAAAATAATTGATCGAGACCTCAGGCCATTCGCAACTTCTGCACGAATTTGTATTTTTTTTTTATTTAAGAATTTGTTAATGGAATAATACCTTTAACTCACATTCGAATTTTAATATTATCTGAAAGACTGAAAAATTATCATTGTGGACAACAAGAATGGGATAAAATTATCGTTTCACCAGTGAAGTTGCAAGACGATTCACATGGATAATGCCAATTCCACAGATACAGAGATTATCTCTCAAACAACCTCAGGAAAATTTGAAAAAATTCTATATGAATAAATTCTTCCAACATTTCTTCTTCAAATTGCTCATACCCAAAAAAATTCAGTCATTAAAAAGTTGAATGAGTAATGCAAAGAATCGACTGCTTGATAATTTTGCCATTATCTTAAAAATTAGCAAGTTTATGAAAAAATCGGTTAAGTAATGAAGTTGCAAGATGAGTCATATCGATAATAACAATTCTCTAAATTCAGATTATCTTTGAAACAATCATCAATCATAAATTTCTCAAAAAAACTTGCTTGTAGATTATGAAATTCTTTACAAAAAAAATCGCGGGAGAGTTCTCCTTAAAGTTACGCATTTCCAAAAGAACTGATTCATCGAAAACTGAAATTAGTCAGCAGAAAATTGAAAATTAACAAGTTTATGAAAAATTATTGAGATATTTTCGGTAACTTATAGAATTCACAAAAAATATGTTCCAATAATTTCTTCTTCAGTTAAAAAACAACTTGGTCTAAACTTCACACCATTTACAACTTCTTTATGAATTTATAAGTAAAAAATCATTCCTTCAGGTCAGTGTAGTGAAATGGCAATTTTATCAACTGAGAGATTATTTCTCTAACAATATAAAATTCTCTATGAAAAAAGTCTCTCGATATTTTCCCCTGAAGTTACTCATTCACAAGAAAATTCAGTCATTTAAAGGTTGAACTAGTAATGTAAAGAATCAAATGTTTTGCTAATTTTGCAATTGTCTTGAAAATTAATAAGTTTATGAAAATTTCGGTTCAGTAATGAAGTTGCCAGACGAGTCACATCGATAATAACAATTCTATCAATTCAGAAGTTATATTTAAAACAATCATCAATCATAACTTTCTCAAGAAATCTTTCTTGTAGTTTATGAAATTCTTTACAAAAAAAATGGCTCCAAACGTCTCCTTGAAGTTACTCATTCTCAAAAAAATTCCATCATTGAATACTGAAAGGAGTCATGCAGCAAATTGAAAATCAACTGTTTATGCGAAATTATCGAGATATTTTCTGTAACTTATAGAATTCACAAAAAATGTGTTCCAATAACTGCTTCTTCACTAATCAAAGAACTTGATCCAAACCTCAGACCATTGACAACTTTTTTACGAATTTATAAGTAAAATAATTCGATCAACTCCCATTAAAATAGATAAATTATTCTCAGGAATAAAAAATAATCATTATGATCAATAGAATTTAGATAAAGTTATCGATTCAGTAATAAAGGTCAAAGACGAATCCAAGACGAGACATTCATAATAACAATTCTATTATCGATTGAAAAACTAAAATTCTTAACAAAAATATGGCTTGAAACTTCTTCAAGTTACTCATTCTCAAAGGAATGCAATCATTAAAAATTAACAAATTTTTATGAAAAAGTACCAAGATATTTTCTATAATTATAGAATTCCCAAAAAATGTGTTCGAATGATTTCTTCTTCTTCACTAATAAAAGAACTTGATTTAAACCTCAGACCATTGACAACTTCTTTACCAATTTATAAGTAAAACAATTCCTTCAACTCACATTAAAATAGTTACATTTCCCTCAGGAATCCCCATGATCTTTGCGCAAGACCACAGCTCCTGTTTCCTCCTCCTGTGCCCACCTACAACAATACCCTACATATATTGATAGACACATCTCCTTGCTCAACGATCACCACAAAGCCACGAAAACCCATCAAGAAAATTCTCTAAACAAATCCATTCAGTTATTTTCAATTATGAAAGACAATTATGGGCGTGACACATCAGCAAAGATCCCCTACCCCAAACGAGCTTCAAGAATAAATAAAAATAAATAAAAAATGCAATGGAAAATGTTAAGTACCAGTGGTGAAGCACAGCAAATAAACATTGCTACTCCTTAATTTAGTAAGCCAATATATCATTGGTCCAAAGAACATGACCTCATCGTCTGGATGTGCTGTAACGAGCAGGAGTCTGCCTGGTGGTCCTGGTAGTTGCCATGCTCGATGATTAACCCTCTTCAGCAATTGATAAATAAATATACATACGAGTACGTAAGCTATTGGTGCAAGAATTAATTGCCATGATATCTCCTTGACGTACCACCACCACCAGTCACCAATACCATTAATCTGATCGCTAATTAATTGCGATATTGTCTCGATATCGAGCATCTTCCCCCATTAAATCATCAAATAATTACGTTTTATTGATTTTTTTCTCTGGTTATTCACGGATTTCCCGGCACCATCATTGCACTCCGAGGGAGAGTGCAGGGGGTTCACGTGAACCGGGAGAGGTCGAAGACGGTGGAAGTGGAATCATCGGTTGTTCCCTTAGGTTATGTTGGGTTATGTGCAACGTCACGTGATCATTTTTTCAAGCCGGTGGGAACGCAAAGTCCCTAGGAAAGGGAATGTGATGTCTTGACGTTGAAATTTATAGATGGCGCTATTAATCGGCCATAATAGTCCGCGAGATTCAAATTATTGTTGGAAAATAATTTAAATAGTTCAGGAAATTAAAAATATACCAGAAATAGAAGAATAAAGAAAGTCTGGAATACAATGGACAAAGAGAACGAAAAACAGCATCGCAAGCGTGAGAAAAACCGTTACGGAAATAGTAAATGTCAAATACTTGAGTTTTGCTCTTATAATTTACAACCCTCCAAATTCTCGTTGAGTAAACACTTTCCTCGAAAATCCAAATTTAGAGAAGAAAATAAATTTAACGGTTACGGTCCCATGTCGTAAAATCTCAGTTCTGGTTATTTCGAAAGGTTCTCTGTTTCACGTGACTAACACGTGTGGGCTCTCCATTGTTCATTGTTTCGCTAGGCTGAGGGCCTGAGACCCTTCGCGACGAAGTTTCACGACGTCACACGCTCCCCTTCTTCCCCTTTTTTTTCATTTCCCCGCTTTTCCTTGAGTTTCACTTTTCCCTCTCCCCTGGGCCAGGATTGCGCGCGCAACTTTTGGTCCGGTGGGGTTGCGGACCCAACCCTTGGAGTTAAATTTAAGTTTAAGTCAGTTCCATCGTGGAAATTGGTGGTGAAGCCTTCAGCTTCCAGCTTCTCTCTTCAAATAGTTTTTCAGTAGAGTTTTTCTAGAGTTTATTAAATTCATTTTTTTTTTGTAGTGCAAAGTTTAAAGTCTGAAGTTGAAGTATTTTGAATAAAAGTGTTTGTGTGCTCTCTTAAGCACTTGTGTTGAATTTATTTCACAATTCAACCCTTCCAACCAAATATTCTGGGATTAAACAATTGGACTTCGATGGAGTGCTCATCAGAGCTTTGGCGGCAAACGAATCTACAGTCAAAAATTGGCGCTCTAAATTTCATTGGCGCTACTGTCCTCCTAGTTACTTCGGTAGGACATAACAGGAAATCCCAGTGGGTATGAACCAACAAGAGATAGAGCGGCAATTTAAGTTCTATTGATCTGTAACCACATTTTTTATTGGTTAGGTTGTGTTTTCGGGTTTGAACAACAATTGGGAGGTTCGTTGTTGAGGAATTACGATGAAGGAGGCTAAGGAAATCGACATTTACAGGGATACGAGCCTGAGGTATTTGGGTAAGTCTCGCTTTTGAGTTTTAGAATTTTCAGTCATGGTTTCTTTTCTTTGATTTGGTGCAAATTGAGCGAAGAGGGGGGGGGGGAATTTATTGATTTGTTTAAAGAACTTTTCAGTGTAGTGGAGATATGGATTTTTGTGATCAGATCCACCGGAAGTGGAATGAGAGATTTTTTTTTGGGAGTTGAGGGGATTTAGATTGTTTTCATGTTAACTTAGGAATAGAATTGTATTTTTGTTGTTGTTTTGAGAGCGAGTTGTGAAGGGCAAATCGATTGATTTTTGTGAAGAGGAATTTTTAGTGCAGTAGAGATATCGATTTTTGCGAGTAAACCCACCGGAAGTGGAATAAGGGATTAATTCTAGGAGGTAATAGAGACTGAGATGGTATTTATTTTGAGTTTTTGAATTTTTATTTATGATTACTTTGTCTTTGCTGCAAATTGGGAAGGTCAAATCTATTGAATTTTCTGATGAATTTTTCAGTGTAGTGCAGATATCGATTTGTGTGATAAGATTCACCAGAAGTGGAATAAGGAATTCATTCTGGGAGACAGTGGAGATTTGGATCCTGGAAAATGTTTATATTGGGTGGATTTTAGCACGTTTTGGGTGCATGGGATATTTTTTCCTGGTCGATTTTTTCCGCCTACCTGGAGATTTAGATTAATGTCTTTCGTTAAAATTTTTGAATTTTCGGTGTAGGGGAAATATCGGTTTTTGGTGATCAGATCCACCAGAAGTGGAATGAGGAATTTATTGTGAGGAGTTGAGACGATTCAAATTGTATTCATCTTAACTTAGGAATGGATTTGCACAGTTTTGTTGTTTTGGAAACGAGTTGTGAAGAGCAAATCTATCGATTTTTCTGATGAGGAACTTTTTAGTGCAGTAGAGATATCGATTTTTGCAGTAGATCTCCCAGAAGTGGAATAAGGAATTTATTCTGGGAGATAGTGGAGATTTGGATTGTCTTTCTTTGGAGTTTTTGAATTTTGTTTTGTCTGCGCCAAGTTGGGAAGGTCAAATCTATTGACTTTTATGATGAGTTTGTGATAGGACTCACCGGAAGTTGAATAAGGAATTCATTTTGGGGAGTTGAGGAGAATCGGATTGTATTCATGTTAACTTAGGAAATAGACTTGCATTTTTTGTTATTTTGGGAACGAGTTGTGAAGGGCAAATCTATTGATTTTCTTGATGAGAAATTTTTAGGGCAGTAGATACCGATTTTTGCGAATAGATTCACCGGATGAGGAATAAGGAATTCGGTCTGGGAGGAATCGGAGATTTAGATTGGTTTCATGTTAATTGAAAAATAAACTTTTTTTTGTTGTTTTCGGTACAAGATGTAAAAGTAATATCTATTGATTTTTGTGATTAGATTCACCGCAAGTGCAATAAGAAATTCATTTTGGAGGTTGAGAAGTTTTAGATTGATGAATGTTGATTTAGGAAAAGGCGTGTTCTTAAATTAATCTATTGATATTGGTAGTCAGGGATTTCAAATATGAGTATACGAGATATATTAATTTCCATCTTTAGATCTTCCGGAAGTGGATTAATGATTTCATTTCAGAGATTGGAAAGAATTGAGAGTTCAATTGTGGAATATTTTAATGATCATTTAAAATATCTGACGTATTGATTAATCTGAACAATTTTAAGGTCCTCGATTACTATAATGAAAATAATTTATTCATATAAGATTGTGGACGATACGGTCCGTACACAATGAAGAGACGGTTGTTTACAAAGGATTAATAGCGAGCTAACTTAAATACAATTATTGGCATGCGCGTAATAATCTCTGATAATTTGAGGTGACTTGTTTTGGGGGTGTAAGTACAGATTAGTACAGGAGGTGTAAGTAATCGGACGCAAGGAAGACCTTAAAAATAGCGATGTACGGACGAAAATATGTAAAAAAATATTGAAGAGGAAGAGCTCGGTGAATAAATCTGTGTGCATTTTTGACATCAGTATTTGGAGACAATACTTCGAGCCAGAAATTAATAATAGTTAATTCGCATCCAATTGTAGACCAATGTATTACAATTTTACTGCAACAATTTTCACAATTTTAATCTAATAGCATTATTTTTGGCCCTAGGATACACTAATGAAGTTGGTGAAGCGTTTAGAAGTCTCATCCCGAAATCTATCGTATGGCTGAGTTACGCGATTGCGAGTGGTTACGTTCTGGCTGATACGATACATAAAGGATCCAGAGAGTATTCGGTAAGTGTTTCAATGAATGAGGACATGAATTCATTTAATATGCATAAAAAAAAAAACAAATGCCAATTTGAGACTTACGATCTCAAATTGAGATTTTGGAAAATCTTAAATTGAGTTCTGAAACTTTCAACTTGAGATTTTCGAAAGTTTCAAGTGAAGACTTTCAATAGTCTGATGACTTTCGAAAGTCTCAACTTCAGATGTTACAAAGTTCTAATTTAGGATTTGAAAATTTCAATTTAAGACTTGAAAATCTCGATTTAAACCCTCCGAAAGTCTGAAGTTGAGACTTTTGAATGTCTCAAGTTGAGATTTGAAAGCTTCAAGCTAAGACTTTCAAAAGGCTAAAATTGAGATTTTCAAGTGTCAAATTGAGACTTTCAAGTCTTTACTTGATCCTTTCGAAAGACTCAATTTAAGATCTTTTAAATCTCAACATAAGGATTTTTTTCTGGGTATTAAATTGGAACAAGTCGAACTAAAAATAGCACACCTGTTAGTTGCGTGATCATCGATAGAATAAGGAATTTTAGAATGAAATATCTTATTAGAATTTTTTCAAATGTTACTCATTGCCGAAATGATTTAACAATCAACCTTGGCAATTAGGAGTCACACCGTTCCCATCCTTGGTAATTTACGAGGCAACAATCCGCCGAATGCATGATTTTACAGATTTTTTTTTTGGTAATTGATGAATATTATTACAGAAGCGATTGGATTCTGCAAACACGCCAAGAAAATTGGTTTGAGGTTCAGAATAATTCATATAACACATTTCCAGAGAAAATGATTAGAAACGGATTTGGATGAAATAAAACTCTTTTATTGAATTTTTTCTATTAATTTCAACAACATCATTGTTGGAAATTCATAAACGCTTTACAAACAATTCATTCATCCGAAATCAATCCAATATTAGATTCAAATAATGCATTATTACATGTTGATAAATTCACTCTCTAACAAATTTGTATATATAACTAATAAAATTTTCATTTGGATCATGAAAACATTTTGGTATAGTTGAAAAATTATTCACTTCTTATGTATGAAAACTTTTAAAAAACGAAGTTTAAGTGTGAATAAAATCTTTATTGCGAGCTATTCGAAAAAAACCCATCAATTTAATTCAAATGAAGTTTATTCGTTTCGAACAAATCATTTATCTGGGTACTAGCTCGTTTGAATTCAACAAGATCATTTGATCATTGAGACCATTTATGTTTACTCAAATAAATGTCTTCTTTATTGATTTTAGAAAGAAACTGGGGAAGGAAAGAATAAACGAGTATTACTATCAGCAACAGACACTCTCATCTGGCAAAGTTTTGCTTCTGTGATAATTCCAGGTCTCGTGATAAACCGAATTTGTGCTGGTGTTCGATTTTTGCAAAAACCTGCCACGAGTGCTGTAATGAGGAGCCCTTGGGTCACTACTGCAGTTGGACTTGCTTCAATTCCATTAATTATTAGACCAATCGATCGAGGCGTTGAGGATGCAATGGACGTGACCTTCAGACAGTGGATTGGATACCATCCTCATGAAAATAGAGAGGATTGACGATTGTAGATTGAATTAGGATGTTATTGTTCAAGACATGAAAGTTATTAGCAAATAGCACAAATTATTTTATAAGGGCCATTCAAATATTACGTCACCCATTGCTTCAACATTTTAGACCTCCTTGCCCCCCCCCCCCCCCCCCCCNCCCCCCCCCCCCTCCTCTGTCACAGACATCTTTATTACGTCATTGAATAGACCCTCTTGTTATGGCGACTTCTTTTTTTTTAATAAAATTGAATTGAAAAATCAAGAATAAGGAAATGAAGGCGAAGAATTAGTTGAACAATTACACCCAAAAAATACAAGCTTTATTTTGAAATTTATTATTTCAAATTGAAAATTGTAAAAGTCTGTGGCGAATGCCTGCGGAGGTGACCAAGTCGCAAGTTCTCATATGGTGACCAAACTAGGGTTAAATTGTTGACAGCACAGGATTCTGAAATTGCTCTTCATGAATGTTTGGGATAGTTTGCAAAACTGGTAAATCCTCTGTTGTCTCAAGAGAAAAAGGGGACACGATAAACAAAATTGCATTTGCTGTTTCTCCTGATTAAAAATCAATAAAAAATATAGTGTGACTATGCCTCCCCTTCGTCACATAATGTTACAAACTACAGACCTCCTCATCCTTCCCCCCCCCCCCCCC